CTCTGGTTGCTGTTATAAACAACCACAAAGAAAAACAGAAACACTGGCCCTTCAGATCAGAGATGCTCTCTGTGTTGGCCAGCAGCCTGCCCAGTTCCCAGTAATCTGTCTAAAGAACACTAGAGGAAAAGTGTGGTCAGACCTCGAGGTTTAGAACACCTACCACACAATGATTGTGAATCAGCCTGTGCTTAGTTAAATCTTCAGCTTGAGTGTAATGAATGTCATATCTATTTCCTGCTTTATTAGACAGATACCTCCCCTTCATCTGCTCTAACGTTTCTGTCATCTCTGATCTCACTCTTCCTGTGCTAGTCTTTCTCTAGCCAGCTCTGTTACAGGCAGACAGGAAGAGACGGTTGTAATTCGCTAGGAACAGTAGAAACCTGTCCTGCAGCAGCTCCGTCCAAGTGAGTGGAAAAGAGCAGCTCTCTCACCTCCGTGCCTCCTCCTTAACATCGGCACGTCACACTTCCACAGGCCAGGCTTCATTTCCACTCCAGTGCAAACACTCTTGAGAGGGGCAGGGCAGCTGGTGTTACCCCCTTAGACAGATGAGGCCGAGGCTTAGAGACGTGAAAGGCTTTTGCCAGGGTTACGTAGCTGTTGTGAGCAGCAGAGTTGGAACTTGAACCCAAGTCTTTTGCCTCCGAGTCTGACATCATATACCACAGGAGACGGGGCGGGGCTGGGCGCACGTGGGGTTGAAATGAGGGCTGGAGCCAGGGACCTGAGCACAGAGTGGGACTTGGGCCACTCATGGGTCCTTGGAATTAGGTTTTTAAAAACTGCTGCTCCCTGTTTCTCTACCTGCTCAGGCGGGGGCATCTCACTCCCTGCCGTTGGACGGAGTGTCACGTTGTGCTACACAGTCTGAAGACTGTGCCTAGAACCGGGGACAGAGGCCCCGTGCTCACGGGGCTGCCCCTGGGAGTCACTCTCCCCCCGCAGGTCTGCTCACGGCCACTGTGGCGTCCCGGATCCACCGTGCAGCCCAGCCCGCTCTTCTCTATTTGGTGCCGTTTACCTTATTGCCACTCCTCACGATGGCCTATTTAAAGGTGAGAAAAGCACTTGTAAACCAGTGAAAGCAATGACGTGGCATTGACCCTGAACTTGGGTACGTATTCTTCCTGTTGGAGGTGGTTCTGCTTAAGACTCTAAGCTCTTAATCTTGATAGTGGGGTCTTTTTGTTTTCATTTCTGTTTTTTGTTTGTTTTAGGAGGGTTTGTTGGTTTATTTTTGCTAACCTAATATTAGCAGCCTCTTCCAGATTCTTACGGCCATTGGCGGAAAATACTGACGAGTAGACCCCTGCAGCACCTGGTCGTGGGCCAGTTAAATCCCTAAGGCCCAACCGCAGAGACTTCCTGTTTCTCTTTAAAGCAGCGCCCTGCTGCCCTCAACAGCTCTAATACTCTGCATTAAAGTTTGGACTAATTAAGAAATGTATTTTTAAAACTAAGAGCATTATCTGATTTATAAGATTTAAATTATCATCTGCATTTTGCAGATAAGGAAACCGACACAGAGGTTAATTAACTTGCCTAGGTCACCTGCGCCCTAAGTGATAGCCCTGCCACCAGGACAGAGTGGGTAAAAGCCCTTCCCTGCTCAAGGGGCCTGAGAGCTCTTCTAGTGAGTTCTTCAAAGAATGGTGGGTTACTTTTCAGTGAGTAAAATTCGAATGTTCTTTGATTCTCCCAGAAGCAGTCTGACCAGAGACCAGGAGTCAGAAAGGACTTGTAGATATGTGTGCCTCGTGTTTAGACCTGTAACTTAGTCGTGTTCCTTCTTTCCCAGGGTGACCTCCGGCGGATGTGGTCTGAGCCATTCCACTCCAAGTCCAGCAGCTCCCGATTCCTGGAAGTATGATGGATCACAGAGAGTGACCAGAGTGGCCTCTTTGTCCTTTTCTGTCAACGCGTGGTTTTGTTTCCTCTTAGAGCTGGCCTGGTACTTGGAGACATACCTGTCTAAGGACTGACGTGTGAACGGATTTTGCATTTGCAGGAGCGAGGTGCTGGAGCCCTGCGTGGTTTCCTCTCTCCCTGCTGTTGGAGAGGTGCAACCCCTCCTGGAGTGACAGGCCCTCCCCAGCGCTCCGTCCTCCCCTGTTTTTATGGATCTGCACCAGACTGTTACCTGTGGGGGATGGAGACGTGACTGTTTAAAACTGATGACCAAGAGTCGTTCTATATCTTTTGAACACTAAAATGATGAAAAACATTAGCAAATTTGTTTCTTCAGTGAACCCTCAAGAACTTTGGGACCAGTTTCCTATGGGGGACTCAGTTTCAGAGAACTAAGACAGAAGCTCTTCTGTCGTTATATTCCTCTTTCCTTTTTTTGGATTTATTAAATATTTTCTGTGGTGTGAAGTGACTTATTAAATCCACAGACATTGAGTGACTTCTTACAACATACACATAAGAATTTGTTGTAATGAGTTCATGTCCACCCAGATATCGTGTTGGCAGTGAACGAGGGCATGGTTTTTATACCTACATACATACACACACATGCACATAAATATATATGAATAAACAAAAATTAAAACCTGCTAAGATCATGCTGTGTAGCAGACAGGGGCTTGCTGTAATTTTTAGCATGTAGAGCAGTTCACTCTGGCTTCCTTGTATATGGATAAGCTGCTGTCTTTCCCTCCACAACTGAACGTGCAGTTAAAAACCAGTATAGTATTTGTACTGATATACTCATGGACTTTAGGGGACTGTCATTTGGTTTTGATCAGTGTAGCAAATTAGGGATGAAAAGTTAAAACTTTTGGCCCTTTTTTTGTTTTTACAGGCTTCTCCCTTGCAGGGTTTTTGGTAATTTCTTCTTGAGCCAATGCATGTATTATAGCAGCAGGTGTCTTTGTGCTTTCGGATCATAGTAATGTACTACTTGTAAATACATTTTTCTATTTTCTATTTTTTTGTATTTTTTTTTTTGGCATTTTTTGTTTCATTGGTGTGCTGTATTTTCCATGCCCTAACTCCTTTAAGAAAAAAAAAGGAAAAAAGCAACATGATCCTGTCCTTGCTGTTGTGATTATAGTCTGGGCTTACCTGTGGTGACAGCTGGGTACTGGGGACAGATGTCAAACACTCCCCGAGATGGGCCCTGCGTTCCAGGAGTCGTGGGACGAGCAAGCTGCCGTGACCCTTAGACTGACTGTGTGCCGTGGCCTCCGCTGGAGGGCCGTGTCCTGGCGGTCCCTCGTGTGAGTATGTCCGCTTGCCTTTGTCGAAGCAGCCACAGCTGCGAGATCGTCTGTTGTTTGGAGGCAGAGAGAAACCTGGGATGGGCCTGCACACCTGAGAGCAGGGGTCGGAGAAGGGCCTGCATGCCCTGGTTTCTTCCTGAAGCAGGTGACCCTCCCCCTGTCCTGCATAGCGACTACACGCTGGGAGGGGTGGTGGGCGGAGCTCGGAAGTGGGGAGCCCCAGGTGGACAGGACGCCGCACTCCTCCCTCGTGTTCAGATCCTGTTGTGGGCTGGTGGTTTTGTTGGTTTGGTTTTTCGGTTTTTTTAAACAAATGACTCCTTCTAGCTTTTGTTACCTTATTCTCACTTTTGGTTGTTGGTACCAAATGGAGCTCCTGTCACCTCCTGCCTGCTCTGCCTGTTCAGGGGACTGACAGGAAGCCCCTGTCGGTCTCTAGACCGGGTCCCTTGCAGCTCTGGTTCTTCCTACAAACGTCAGAGAACGGAGGCTTCTGCTGGCCACACAACTCAAAACAGCCTCCAGGTTTGGTGAAGACCAGAAGTACGCCCCTGTACCCCCTGCTTAGTGGCTGTACTTGAGCCCTGCAGGATGCTAACGGCTCAACGGGGCAGGGGGTGGAGGGACTTTTCCAGAACAACTCTGATTAAGGGTAAGTACCAATAACAGTTAAAAATAATGTCCTGGCAGTTTGTCATTTTAATTTTTCTAACTATTCATAAATACTCAAAAATAAAATATTTCTAACTTTTCATTACAAAACTAAATTCCAGACAGAAGGAATGTTCAGTTTTTGTCATCCTCACTTCTGTGTGGGTTTAGAGCTGAAAATATGCACGCATGACTCCTGAATATAATTTGGATTCCAGTTCTAGTCTTCAAAGCCCTTAAAACTTTGGCAGAGGAACTGCAAACACCCCTTTTGTTTTAAATTAAGGACAGCAGACAC